GCATTTCCTCTACATCATTATTCTGGGATTCCTTGTACCCCTCTCCTAGGTTGGATCTCCTGTTTCCTGCATCTGGTGTCCTGTATCTTGCTTCTTCCTAAGTTACCTCCCTTGTTTTGGTGGAGTCAACCTCCAGCAGCTTCCTGAGAAAAAGCACAACGAAGGTCAATGTATCAAGAGTCTTCTATCTTCACCCTTGATTGATAGTTTGGCTGAGTATGGAAATCTAGGTTAGAAATCATTTTCTTTCAGAATTTTGAAGTAATTGCTCCACAGTCTTCTTGCTGTCAGTATTGTTGAGATGTCCAAAGCCATTTTGATTCTTAACTTTTTCTATGTCTTCATTTTTATTTTGTGGAATTTTGTACCATTTTCTCTTCATCCTGTGGTTTGGGTCTATTTTCATCCACTGTGTATGGGCCTTTTCGATCTATAAATACATGTCCTTCAGTTTTGGGAAATATCTCTGAACTATTTCATTAGTGATATCTCCTCTGTTTTTTTTTCCCCCTGTTATTCCTTTATAGAATGCCCGTTATTTCTATATTTGATGTCCTGGACTAGGCACTAATTTTCTTATCTTTTCTTCCTTTTTGCCATGTCTTTGTTCTACTTTCCAAAATATTTCTCCAACTTTCTTTTTAATCCTTATAGTGATTTTTAAATTTCTGATATCATATTATTAAAATCCCAGGGCTCTTCTTTTGCCCTCTGCTTATTATTTCTTTTTATACACTATCCTGCTCATGTTTCTTGGTTGCAATATCTTATCATTCTAGGGATTTGACAGAATAATTTTTTTGACGTGTTTCTTTTACATTTTCTTTTCTTCTCATAGTTTCTATTTCTTCCAAGTTGCTTGTTTCTGTTTTATAACTTTGGTTTCTATCTTTCATGTTAGAGGCATTCTTTAGATGCCTGGGAAGCCTTGATTATCTGCTCACATTTAAATGTTCAGGAATAAAAAGCTCCTTGTAAACTTTGTGTGTGTTAGTGAGACTTCTTGACTGTGACCTTTACTGTAGCTGTTTCGAGAGTTTTCAATATAAGTATCATTAGGTCTTTCCTCATAGGCTGGTAAGATCCCAGAGAGAGATCCTCCAATATCCTACCTGAAGGGAGAAGTCTGTCTGCCAAAAATATGGGAGCTGCGTAAGGAAGAAGACTGGAGGTCTCAGCCTTCCATGTACAATAATTTTCAGTATGGTACCCATCTCCTCAATAGTGATGGGTGCACAGAACTTCTGCTTTACCAGTCTTTTGGGAAGGTAAGTGGGAGAAATTGCCCAGCTATGTAGATGTTAAAAAGAGATCTGGGACTCTGACTACTTCTCAATCATACTTTCAACCAGTATGCCTCATTTTAGCTGGAATTCCTTTATTTTAATCCTTATTTTACCTTATTTTATCCCCTTTACCTCCTATTTCCAGAAATATCTAGCACTACCAATCTCTGAGAATTTAGGAGATTTCAAGGTGTAAACCTGATAGGCTCTCAGCTTTCCTTACTGCTAGCTTAGGATTCTGTTTTCTTAAGTCTATTAAGTCACTCTTCCATCTACTTTCCAGCTTCAAAAATGTTGTGGATGTTGACTCTATTCTCATTCTGCTGATTATTTTGTAAAAAAAAAAATCCCTTTGGAGTCATTTTAGTGGGGCTTTGAGTAGGAGTAAAAGTAGCTATATGAGTTTAACCTCCACCTATTGCCCCCAACATTTGAGCAGAAACTCAAATCAATACTCTTTACATATATGATCAATACTTATTTAGAAGTACAGGCTTCACGTTGCCTGGGGGACAGTGAAGAAGGGTGAATGATCCACAGCCTTCAGCTTCAGCTGTATTGCCCAGCAGTTCAGCTCTGGCCCCAGACTTGCATAGCTCTTTCAACAAAACTTAGAAGCCCTGTAGATAACTGGACTATCTCCCCTACAGAGCATTTCAGGGACTCTTTTGTTAATAAGAATTCCCCCTTGAGCATTTTATTCCATCTACCCCTTCCCAAAATATCTTTAACAAAAGGTATCTTCCAATCATTAAGTACTGTCTATGAGAGGCATTCTGGTAACCACGATTGTCTTCGTATTATATTTCCAGTGAAATTTTTACTTCCTTGTGATATTTTAGCACTCCTAAGGCAACTGCTCAGTTACCTCCCCTGTTAATTTCTCACTGATTGTGAACTAATGCAAATACTACAGTAGACTTGGGGAAAGCAATGTTTTGTTCTTTAAGAGTCCTTTAAAGATATCCCAAAAGTGTTGTGGGTAAATCCTAGGGACAAAGGGTGTATTTACCACAATTCCACAATTTGCAGGTGCTTTTCCTACCTCCTCTGTGAAATGGGAATGACAACCCTCCCCTGACCTTCCCTCACATGCAGCTGTGCACAATGAGTTAGATGATAACTGCTAAGCCCTGGAATTCTACGAGTCCAGAATGAGATTTCTGTTGAATTTGGGCTATTAGAACACAAGGACAGCTAGGAAGTAGCAAGAGTGTAGATTACTCATGAAATCCTCACTTCAGGCATGTACAGCCTGTTCAGAAAATTACCCCGGAGCTGAAATGACTAAAGCTTTGTCTCTTACCAGGTGTGAGGGAAGCTTTAGAAAAATGTATACTGTCCTTTTACAGTTATTTGAACATGGGGAGAAAAGGCTTGTTTTCCAGGTGCTCTTTTTTGATTTTCAGACACCTTAAAAAACAAAACTCTTAAAGAAACAGAGTCTGAAATTTCAAGTGCCCCTGAACTGCTGGGAGAAAATGAACCTAAGGAATGGGAATAAAGTTAATTTATATTTTAAAAGGGAGCAGGGAACTAATTTACTAACTCCTTTTCTCGTGCCAACATCTACATTTATATTTATTCTTTCATTGAATTCTTATAACAACCCCATAAGGTAGTCAATATTATTGTTCCCATAATGCAGATAAGAAAATGGAGGCTCAGAGACTTGCCCAAGTTCACACAGCAGGAGAGTAGCCAAGCTGAGATCTGATCGTCCACTTGCCTGACTCCCAAGTCTGTGCCAGGTCCATCACGATTATCTCAGAGGAATCCTGCTTTAGAGCTCCCTTCTGTGTTGTGAGGTCTATACATCTAGCTGAAACTGATCTCTTTCTACTGCAAGATTCATCTGGACCTTTCGGGCTGTCAGGGGAGGGTGAGATTGATGCCAACTGTATATGACACACTGGACAACTTGCTTGGCACAAGACACTGGGTTGATCTAGACATGGCTGGTAACCAGTTATACAATTCACAGAATTTAACAAGTGTCAATCCTCAGTTATCTCTCTTTTCCTTCCCATATCATTTTTATCTTGTTCCACCCTACCCCACTTCCAATTTCCACATGACACCAGCAATGAAATTTTATGGGGTTTTGTATGTAAACTCTAGCAAAGAAAGATGTAATAATGCTATTTAAAGGGACTGAGCTATAAATAATTTAAACCTATTGTTATTTCTCCCATCTTAGAAAAAAAATTCTCCTGACTCTACTTCTCCTGGTAACCACCACTCATTTCTTTTCTCCCCTTTGCAGCAACACTCCCCAAAAGAGCTCTTTATATTCACTGTCTTCTCCCATTTTCCCTTAAGCTCACTTCAGTCAGATTTTTACCCTCACCACGTCACTGAAATATCTTTCTTCAAAGGCACCAATATCCTCCATCTCTGCTAAGTCCAATGGCCAGTTCTCAGTCCCCACCTTACTTGACCTATCAACAGCATCTGCCAGTTGATCCTCTGTCCTCCTGACACACTTTCTTCACTTGGCTTCCAGGACACTGTGCTCTCCTGGTTTCTTCCTGGTTTTACCTTACTTCCTCTCAGAATCTTCTGTTGGTTCCTCCTTATCTCTGACTTCTTAATGTTTTAGTACCTATACTCCCTCCCTCGCTGGTCTCATCCACATTTGGCTTTAAATACTACCATTTTGCCCACGACCTCTCCTCTGAACACCAGACTCATATAGTCAACTGCTTTCCTGACACATGGATGTCTAACAAGCATCTCAAATGTAACACCTTGAAAACAGAACTGATCTTTCAAGCGCCATCAAACCTGCTTCACCCATAGCCTCTTTCATCTGAATTGACGTAAAGTCCTTCCTTCTAGTCGCTCAGGCTAAAAATCTTGGCGTCATTCTTGCCTCCTTTCTTTTACTCACACTCTACATCCAACGCATCAGGAAATCCTGTTGGCTTTATCTTCAAAACGTAGCCCCAATTCGAGTACCTCTCACCACCTCCGGTGCTACACCCTGGACTGAGTCACCGTCATCTCTCTCCTGGATTACTGCAATTACCTCCTAACGGGTTTCCCTCTTTCTATTTTTAACCCCCTTAAGTCTAGTCTTAACACAGCAGCCAGAGTGTTACTTTAAAAAGGAAATCCAACCAAGTTATTCCTCTGCTCAAAACCTTGCAGTGGCTCCTCACTTACTCTGCATAGATCTGACCCTCGACCCCTCCCATGATCTGACCCCCTACTGCAGCTCTGCTCTCCCATTTCCTACCACTCAGCTCCCGCCACCTTGGCCTCCTTGATGCTCCTGGAACACGTCAGGCACACGCCCACCTTAGGACATTTTTACTGGCTGTTCTTTTTATTGCTAACTCCCTTCTCTCTTTAATTCTTTAACCTTCTCAAGGAGACCACGCTGACCACCCTACTTAAAATTACAGCCCATATCTACCATCTCTTATCCTCCTGACTATGCAGTATTTCTAGTTTTTCTATGGCACTACTAATATACATTTATGTACTTATTTTCAGGTTATTGTTTCTTATCTCTGTCTTCTCTCTAAAATATAAGCTCCGTGACAGCAGATCTGTGTCTGTTTTTGTTCATGGAGGCGTATCATGCATCTCACACAGTTCCCAGTACATAATAGATGCTCAATAAATAAATGTCAAGTGAATCCTGTCCTATACCTCGCTAGGGGTTTGGCCGTCAGAATCCGCATGCCGTAGCCAACCCTCACTTACCTGTCTTGCCACAGTGTCCTGAATTCTGTTCCATCTCACCGAACTTGAGCTTCATGTAAGCTACATAGTACATGGGTGCTTAATAAGTAAAGAATAACAAGTGGGCATGGGAACATTATCGAAAAAGAATTCTTTTTTTCAAGTAATGGGCACCTGAGGAAGCACAGTCTGGCCTGCATGAGCGGCCTTTTTTTGTGTTTTGCAGAATACAAGGCACAGCCCAGGGGTAGCACACCGTTGGGACCAAGAGCACAATCCCTGTACCACATCGCCCGGGTCATGACCTGCCTCTACCACTCGCTAGCTGTAATCACTACAGGGAGTTTCCTTAACCTCTCTGTGCCTCATTTTTCTAAAGTATCAAATGGGAATAACAGTTGTACCTATATCCAGTATTGTATAACGATTAAATTTGCTAATACAAAATAAGACACTTAATACAATGCTTAACATATAATAAACATTCAATAATTTTAGCTAATATTTAGTAAAATATATTTATATTTTATATTTATATTTATTTGCATAATTTAATAGAAGTCTTAACTTTTACATTCACAGGCACTGAAATAGTTATAAAATAGAGTGCTCAGTATATAATAGAGTACTTTACCATCTCAAAACCCCAACATCTGAGCTTCTATAAGTAATTTATAGCCCCAGAGATGGGCCAGAGATAGGGGCTTGTAAAGGCGTGGGCTCATTAGGACTGAGCAAGTGAGCTATTTGTAGGGGGCCCTGCTACTAGGGAGCAACAGAGAAGGTACAAGGAACCGAGATGTTTCACACCTCTCCTAACTGAAGAGCCCTGGAAGAGAATAGCTGGGAAATTATCTCTAAAGATAACTCAGACATTGCTCAGATATGGCTAGAGCCACAGGCAACTCAAACTGAAGCCTTTGAACAGTGATGACTGCTGCACAGAAGAAAACATCAAAGAGAGACGCACCACCAGTCAAGATTCTGGGGTAGAGCATGTTAGAAAATCATTTCCTCCTTCTCCAGGCAGACAATAGCTCCTCTATTACCTATCTTGTCAAGCCTGAAGACAAGCTTATTTTGCACCTAACTCTTTGTAGAAGACTTCGGTTTTCTAGTAGCTACTCTTCCAGTGGTGGTGTTTACACGCAGTATGGATTTGGCTGAACAGCACCGGATCCTGACTGAAATGCACTAGACACACATTGTCCTTGGAGACTGATGGAGAGTGGATCCAAGCTGCAGACCGTCTACTCCCTGGCCACTTCTCCCTACCAGGGGGCTGGGGGTGCCCAGAAATAGCTCTTAGTCTTTGGTGGGAGGTTTTCAGAACCCAGAAGTTACTGGAACACCTCCTGATGCTGTTGTTTGGATGGTGAGCCCAGCAACAATAACTGCAATCCTTTGATGCCAATCACACTTACTAATGAATGGCTCTTGCTGGCTTTTTTGCCTGAGAAGTGTGACTTTCAAGACCAGGTAATTACTACAGAATCAGCATAGGCTCAGAGAGTCAAGCAAATTTGGGTTAGGACAGAAGTGTTTTTCAAAAGGTTTCCCTCCATTTCTGATGTGATTTATTGTTCACATAGCCCATTCTTTAGGAAAAGTCCAAAATCCACAGGGCAGCATCAACAGGAATAAAATATCCAACTGACAGTTGAACGCTAAAACAAAATTGTATAATTTGAAATTCACTAAGACATTAGATATTTTAAAAATTCTAGGAATTTCTATGTTTCTGGCTAAATAAACAACAAATGATAATGGTCTTTATTTGGTAAAAGGATGACTCTTTAATAATATAATAAGATCCCTAGACTCTATTAACTTCACCTTTATCATCATCTTTATTTTTCTAAACTATTTATTTATTTAGTTTCAGACATATAGAAAATTTACAAAAATAGTATAGAGAGTTCCTGTATACCCTTCAGCAAGCTTCCCCTAATGTTATCATCTGGCATAGCCTTAGCACAACGATAAAATCCAAGAAAACACTGGTTCAATACTATTAACTAAACTATAGTCCTTATTCAAATTTTCCAGTTTTTCCACTAATATCCTTTTTTTGTCTTAGAATCCAATCCAGGATCCTATATTGCATTAAGTTTTCATGTCTACTTAATTTCCTTCAATCTGCAACATTCCTAAATCTTTTCTTGTCTTTCATGCTTTTGACACTTTTGAAGAGTACTGGTCAGTTATTTTGTAGAATATCCCTAAATTTGGCTTTGTGATGTTTTTTCCTGATTAGATTGAGGTTACGCATTTTGGGCAAGAATACCACGGAAGCGATGCCATTCTCAGTGCATCATATCAAGGGGTACAGCATGTCAATATGTCTTATTACTGGTGATGCTAATGCTGGTCACAGATAACCTTGGATACAGTGGTGTCTGCCAACTTTTTCCACTGCAAAGTTAGTATTTTTCCCTTTGTAATTAATAAATATCTTTGGGTGAGGAGCTACTTTGTTACTATGAATTATCCTGCTTCTCTTCAAACTTTTGCCCACTAATTTTAGCATCCATTGATGGATCTTGCCAGTATTCGTTATTACTGCAGCATTTGACTAACAGTGATTTTCTATTTCCTTCATTCCGTCAACATGTATTAATTGGGATTCTTCTATAAAGAAGGTGCTATTCTCTTTAAGTAAGAGGCAGCTGAGTACACTATGAAGCCACTGAGTCTAGATAAAAGAGAATGGACTTCAGAATTAAACTGGCCTCTGTTGGAATCCAAATTACTCAACTTACTAGGGTACGGATTCAGTAAGTCAATTCTATCATCACCATCATCGTCAAAAATTAACATTCCGCTCCTGTAGAACAACTCTCTATCTTGGTTTAGAATAGTTAAAGCAATAAGATGCAAGAGATTTTCTTTCTATCCTTCTGCCTGGGCTTCTCCCATAAAGGGATTGGATGGAGACCACTCTTCTTTCTATCCTGACTCTATCAATACCCCATGGACACTATTTTTTTGCCCACACATCATTTCTAAAATATTACTTGGCCGGGAATGTTGGGTGTAACCAGAAGTAGACTGGTTAAACTCTTCAAAGTTTCTTAACAAATATTCTGCGGCTTGCTTCTGATTGTATTTTGCAGTTTAAACAGCACTAACCCTAAATTTACAACAAATAGTCCTCTACATTTCAGAATGGTTACTTATACTACCTACACAGTGATACCTGCATTCACAGTGTAGGTATACAGAGCGATGGTCTTTCAACTCACCATCAATTCAAAAGGAGGTTTGCTTGACAATGGAATACATTCTGCTTTACGTAGGCATTTTTTCCTACTAGAAATGTGCAAGGTAGCTTTTACTAGTTGCCTGATAAGTGTCATCATAATCTTATTTATTGTTTGGGTGAATTTGGGGTATGTAAGAAGGTATACCTCAGTTATAAAGTTCAAATCAGGAGCCACCTCTCAGTACCAGCCTAAATTTTTTAAAAATCAGTCGAATTTCTATTATTAATTATTATTTTCTACACTTTTCCATTTGATGAAATAGTGGGACTCCTCTAACATACACCTGGAAGAAGAGAAGGGATGTCCCGTTTGGTCATCCCCCATTAGGCAGTTTGTCCATCTGTACCTTCTTCATCAGCCATATAGTTTTAAATTTTTCTAATATATTATGTTAAAACACCCATTTATTTAAGGACAAAACATGGGCCTCTCTCTGTCTTGATTACTACCACAAACATGCTTTCTTCTTCAAGTCAAAACTGATAAAAAGTTAATTAAAAATTTCACAATGTTATAAACTATTATGACCACAACAAAAAAAAAAAATTAATCAAAAAAAGCCCAGATCACTACAGCGTTCCATGAACTTTGTTTTGCAGTCAACTATCCAGATACTCTGTTAGTGGTTAGTGGAATCCAGCTGTGGTTCTTAGTCACAGCATGCTGCCATCAGTGTGAGCTTTATCACAAGTAATTAATTACTAATCGTTCCTAAAGTACCAAAGTTTAAGAATGATTTGCTTTTTTGTTTGTTTGTTTGTTTTTGTGAGGAAGATCAGCCCTGAGCTAACATCTATGCCAATCCTCCTCTTTTTGCTGAGGAAGACTGGCCCTGGGCTGACATCTGTGCCCATCTTCCTCTACTTTATAGGGGACGCCACCACAGCATGGCTTGCCTAGCGGTGCCTGGGTGTGCGCCCAGGATCCAAACCAGTGAACCCGGGGCCAACGAAGCGGAGCACCCGCACTTAACCGCTGCGCCACCGGGCCAGCCCCTGATTTGCTTTTTAAAAATAAGTCAAGGTAGGGGCCGGCCCCGTGGCGTAGCGGTTAAGTGTGCACACTCTGGTGCTGGCGGCCCAGGGTTCAGATCCTGGGCACGCACACACGCATCGCTTGTCAGGCCATGCTGTGGCGGCGTCCCCTATAAAATGGAGGAAGATGGGCACGGATGTTAGCTCAGGGCCAGTCTTCCTCAGCAAAAAGAGGAGGATTGGCATGGATGTTAGCTCAGGGTTGATCTTCCTCACAAAAATAAAGAAATAAATAAATAAAATAAGTCAAGGTAGATATACTTTCTTGAAAGGGAGAGGAATCATAGAATTATAGCTAGACTCAAGACAAACCTGTAAAACCTATAGCCTTTCTTGTCTTATTGAACAGTGGAAATGATTCTGTGTGGGAGCATCATCCTGTGACCATCATCTTCTGTGTGTCACTTTAGGATGGCCATTGTAGAGGGGCATTGGACCTTCAATGCTTATATTCTAGTTACACCATACATATGTATTTCACTTACAGGAACTCAACTTATGCACTCGGCAATAGGAATAGGTTAGATTATTGACTAGGGGCCGGCCTGGTGGCGCAAGCGGTTAAGTGTGCATGCTCCGCTGCCACTGGTTCAGATCCCGGGCGCACACCGACGCACTGCTTGGCAAGCCATGCTGTGCCGGCATCCCGTATAAAGTGGAGGAAGATGGGCACAGATATTAGCCCAGGGCCAGTCTTCCTCAGCAAAAAAATGGGAAGATTAGCAGATGTTAGCACAGGGCTGATCTCCTCACAAAAAAAAAAAAAAGATTATTGACCAAAAATATTTAACCTCCCCACCCTGCAACACGGAAGTAGTATACTTCCCTGCCCCTTTGACATTGGGCTTGGCCATATGATTTGCGTTGGCATCATGGTAAGCAGGCTTATTTACTTCCCCATTCCTTGTCTTTAAGCTTAGCAATATTACTTACTTTGGCCAATGAGATATTAACAGACGTAACGCAATAAGAGGCGTGAAACATTCTTGTGCACTTGTGCCTCTGTCATGACAGCCCGTCAGCCTGGGTCCCAGAATAGACAGATATGGGGCAGATCTGAGCCTAACCTGTAACAAGGAGTCAAGCCCAGAAGAACCTGCACCTTGAAACAGCACTGCCCAGCTGAGTCCAGCTGAGATAAGTCTGACCCCAGCCAACCTGCAGAGACACTGGTGAGAATATTGATAGCTCTTACAGATCATTGAATTTTGGAGTGGTTTGCTATCTGGTAATAGCTGACAGACAGAGCAATAAAGAAGAAGAGAGAAACATCAATATAAAGGGTGCTTAATGAGTGAGCACCTGGAGTGAGTGAGATGGGAGTCTTGAATCTACTTTTCCTTATTATATCTCAAGTCCTACATGCATCTCCCAGTGTGAGTGTCAACCCTACAGATGTTTAAAGAGAAATACTTTTCCTACAAATGACTCCTTAAATGAGAGTCATATGTGTAGACATCAAAGCATATACACTATACCTTATGAATAATAATAATAATAATAATAAAGACTTTCAAGATTAATGTTGACTCCTTGTGCAATTTTGATGTAATTCACTGACTTTTGGGAATAACTGCATAAAACTTACAATTCCACCATTTGTATCTTGAGGAACCACATATGTAGACACTTTTGGGGACTAGTAAAGGGCAACTGGTAAGGAAAAAGAAGTTTTCTGTGTGGTTAACTGTTTACAACTAAAGTATTTCGGGAATGGAGAAAGATCTTTGAGGAGAAATTCTTGGCAGCTGAGTCTCCACGCAGTGCCAGTACAGTTATAGCACTGATCATTAAAAACTACACTGAAAATTTATATAATGCATATGACTAAATTTAATCCTCGCTGTAATTCGGTGGGTAATAATTACTGTTATCCTGACTTAATTTATTTTGCAAACAAGGCAACAGAAGTTCAGAGAGGTTGAAGGTCTTGTCTAAAGTCACACAGCTGAGACTGGTAAAGGAGCTGGGACTCAAACCCAGGTCTTCTGATTTCAAACCCCATGCTCTTGCCACCACACCACATCTGAGGCCAACTGCAGTACAGGCCAGATTAGAAAGCAAAGGGTCTGCAGAGTTTGGAACACTAGACAAATTAAAAGGCTAAAAACAAAAAGCCTTACGAGACTAGAAGTTCTCAGTCAATAGCAGTTCAAACTCTTCTGAGTAGAAATGAAAACCATATGGAGTCAGAGGCTCAAAGGCAGAAATAAAAGCTGCGACCTAAAAACAAACAAAAAACAGGAAAGGAGCTTCTTCCAACAGAGCTGCTTTTCACAAGGGCAACTCTCCGTTGCATGTTCCATGGTGAGAGGAATAGACAGCAGGAATTGATTTATTTTTAACAATTATTAATAGTTCTCCATAAAAATATCAATTATCTCACCCTGTATAATAATAATAAATGTTTATATGACTCGCTATATAGCATTATATCCTTTCCTTCTAACACTGGCACAGAATTTGAATCCTCCAGAAAGTTCTCCTTGATTAATCACTGCCCACTCTCCCAGCCCTGGCCAATCTGCTTACACATGTATATACAAAATTCTCATCATATCAACACGTGCCTTTGCAAAATGTATGTAAATTGCCTATGCACGTACATGTGAGTACTATCCCCCTAGTATATCTGGGATCTTTACATGATTTTGATACAAAAATAACTATTAACTCACTGACTGTTGGTACTTGGTTAGTGTACAACATCAAATGGGGACAGGAGTGATTTATAAATGGGATGGATTTCAGAATCTGCGGGATAAAAGCAAACTTTTAGGTTGACTGTACTTGCAAGAGACTCACACAGGGCAGCTGATTTTCCAGTGTTTTCCTTGTAGACTTTCTATTTAAGCAGTGGAGACAAACACAAGAAACATGACCAAGCCATTCTTCAAACAAACTCCAACTCAGCCATATAAGAACAAAGGGGCAGTCAATGAAATCGAAAGGCAACTCATTTAAAACAGATAAAGGAAAATGCCTTTTTTTGGTCCACTACATAATTAACTTAAGAATTTGCTGTGCAAGAATTAAGTAATTTGATATAATTTTTGGAAAAAGGATTTCACTAAGAATACAATCTGTTTCTGCACTTGTGAGGGGAAGAAAGGTGAGAAGGGTCACCTCTCCTTATTTAGAATGAGTGACCATCTGTGCCCAGAAGCTCCTCCTTGGCTCAGCATTTCAAGACTGAATGGCAACATGAACGAGGAGGAGTGGGGTTACCACGTCAGAAAACCCCATGGGTGAAAAAAGCAACACCATGGACCAGGCCAGGGCCATCTCTTCTGCTGTGATTTCTTGTCATGGGGCTCTGGTGTGCAATGGAAATCTGAAAGCCACTCTTCAGTAACACGACAGTGTCTCTTTGAAAGCGAGTGAGAGCCAGGTGGAATTGCCTTCTTCAGTCCCCATCACTTTTCCTAGCCTGTAGAGGGTGCAATATCAGGTGAAAGCACTTAAAGAGTCGCTTCCTTTTCCCAGGTGTGAACCAAACAAAGCCAAGGGTTTTTGTCAC